AGTAAGTTTTTTTCTCCTTATTTATAGGAGAGACCTGTATTTTATTTTTGAAACAGAAACAAAACAAAACATTTCAAACTGTGGAAATAAAATCAGGATGAATGATATAATACGCAATGCACATTGTAATCGTAAGTAAGTTTTACTTTCCAAAATATGTAATTACCACTGCATGAGTGGTCCTCAAATCACCAAAGTGAGGACGTCGATTATTTCTTTATTTTGGTGACTAAATACATTTCCTGCTGCCCAATTCTAGTAGTACTTATTAAGATTTATATTTTTTTTTGCGATTCAAAACAGATTGAGCATACCCATTTTAAGTAAATGAAGCAGGATTAGATTCAAAATAGTTTTTAACAATTTACTTACGTTCTTGACGAGATCATTGAACTCTTGTTTCAACATATCTACTTTTTCAATGAGTTTAGATTGATCATTTTTACTTTCATCTACGTTCTGCTCTGCTGCTTTCTTTAATACAGTGACATCCCTTTTTACAGCTACTAGATCAATCTCTGTCCTGATAATTCTTTCTAGAGTTTGAGCCTCGTAATGGTATTTTGAACATTGACCTTCTTCTAAAATTGCACGTAAATCACATGTTAAATAAAAAAAAAACCATTAAAACATTCAGTTAAGTTAATGATCTGTACCAAAATAGGGAATTGTTAATTTGGAATTCCTTTGATATCAAATCTGAGAAAAAAGGTGTCTTTTTGGCAGTTGTTTTTGCAGAACTTTCTTAAAAAGTCATATCTGGAAAGAGTTAAAGCTTGGAATTTCTTTATTATCTACGTGTATTTATTAAATAAATAGGAAAATGTATTCTACAAATTTTAAGGGAAAATATGTTACGTTTCAGATGGAGAAAAATTACGCAGATGCCCACCCTTTCTATCAGGAAGTTAAGCTTATTCTTTCAAAGGCGTAATAAACTACCTTTCATAAAATACTTCTGCGATTAATTTATTACGGTAACTAACAAATTAGAGATAGTAAATACTTCCAAAATATCACAGAAAAATATAAACGTTTTAGATCTGGAATAAAGTGCAAAAATTATATCATATATATCATAGCAATCGTTGAAATTGAAGACTGACTTTAATAAGAATTTTCTATTATTCTATTTATCTGTGAAAATATCATTTGATAATTTCACAGTGAAATTTATCAAATATGAATTGACACTTTTCAAGGAAGAGACTACTTTTTAAAGATTTTGCCCATGTGGTACCTCACTTTTATTTATGGTTATATTTCCAACCTATCTAGAGCTCTTAAGAGCAAACCAACGCTGACTTTGATAATTACATAAAATTTCAAGCGCAATCATAAAGTTAAAACTCACTTCAATTCATTTAATTTACAGTGTCACATTATTAATTAAATATAATAAGATTGCGATTTTCATTCGGATTGTTTTCTTCTTTTTAATTTTGGAAACCTGATCAAATCGAAAAAGGCAATTTTCACGTTATTAGCTTTCATAGCTTTTAGGGTATTGTCTTTCAAGATTATTTCTGCACATAATCATTAGTTTAAAAAAAAAGAAATCTAACGAATGTTTCATTTTAATGTGAAGCATATGTGCTAGTTTTTATTGATTTTGATTCATAAAATAGCTAGAATGTTCTGCATAATTCACTCCTTTAACCATATACTTAGTTAGTCAAGGTAAGATACATACTTGAATTAGTTAAAGAAAATAAACACTCAAATTTTAATTTTCTTTATTCATAGATTATAGCATGATATGGAATTTAATAGGCTATGAATATGAGAAAAATACCAGCACGGAAGGGCGAGATTTTCAACAACAAACAACAACACAGCACCACCGGAAAGGTACAAAACATGAAACCGAACAAAAACATGAGAGGGCACAAGGACGAAGCAAGGAGGGGCGTGCAAAATATCAGCATTTGTAACAAACAATTAAACACTTTAATAAGAAAAAGCATTTGAAATTATATAAAAATAGTATGTTCGGCAATAAGTTATCAAAAGCTGATACAGAATAATGGTGCATTTCGGAGGGGACGGATGTGATTTGCAATTTTAATTTGTTTTTAATTTTAGTGAAGTAAGTGTACATTAAATATAAAAAACAAGATCAACAAGACAGGGCGACATTCCAAACAGCCCCACCCCACCTAGTAACACAGGACCACCGGCAAGGAGCCCAGCAGGACCACAAACAAAAACAGGCAAAAGAAGGACGGGGTGATTACTTAAAAAACACATAATAGGAAATAATAGAATCCGAGCAGGAAATTTTAGTGACAAAAAATAAATAGGCATACTTACGTTAAGGGTGTAGGGGAAGGGGACTAGAGGGGGGTCGGGGGGACAAAATTAAACTAAAACAACACTAGGGGCAAAGAAAAGATACAACAAGAAAACAACAAGAAGGAATACAAAAGTGTCACCGTTATAGTATGAAACAGCAAAGACATACATCTGAGGAACACAGAGGGCGCCGCCTTGGAAGGATCAGCAGCATAAGCACTGCTGGGGAGTTTAAACCTTACTGTTAGCCCCACCATATCCGTTTAAACGAGACAATGAATATAAAATGAATCCCCGCAAAAATAAAGTCACGTCATATAGCAATACTTATACATGATTGCTTATAAATTACGAAGCGCCCTAAATTTTTTCCTTGTTTTGTATCTTTCGGTTAAACATCAACTAAAAAAAGGGAAAAAAAACTAATTCTAATTACCTTTTAATGTTTAATCTAACTTGTTTTGTTTACAAAGCTAAGATAAAATGAAATTTGTAATAATGTTACTCCTTTCAAAATACTTTTTGTCTGATTTATAGTGTCTACAGGAGGTCAAACTGTCTTAAAACTTAACATTAATGGCTTGAACTTACTTCACTCCCCTTTATCAGTATATCTCTATAAGAATGTCCCATTTTCAATTTTAAAAGGATGTTACTGAACTTTAGTAAATGCTGTATGACCAAATATATTTCCGTACTTTTTTCGTTGGTTAAACTGTTCCTTTCTTTGTCCTTGTTTCCCACATCTTTTACTTTGATTGGTCATTCTCTACTTAACATTGTATGTATATTATAAGTTACTTTTCACTGTAAAGATAAGACAAAATGGGATGTCACTGTCACGTTTTGGCTCTATCAGTTATTTCTCTTCTCAACATATGAAACTGTTTTGCTTAAGATACATCGCAAGCTAGCCAATTTGTTTATGCACATGTAATCCATGCTTGTCAAGAGGACAATCCCCATTTAGTATGAACTAGGCAAGGATTTTTTTAGATGATTTGTAGATTGTATTCTTTTTAACCCCTACAATCGCAATAGAAAGCCTTAAGTAATGCTTTGAATCATCAACAAGAGCTTTCAGTTGGGGTATATTTAGTTTGTTAATAAATAGAACAAGCGTAACATTTTCTTACTTAAAGTTTGTTGAATAATAAGAATAGATTCTTGATGCAGGAAAAGTGAAATCTCTATATGTAAAACTTAAATTGTTTAATGTATGCTTTTATAAAAACATTGTATTTAGTACAATGTAAAACTATCCGGGTGTGCAAAGCCATTGTTAAAGCTGATTCACATGTATTGATCCACTCAGTCATCATTCTCATGAATGATCTTGAAAAACAAATATTTTCATGGAAATATTTTAAATAAAGTTTAAAATGATAATATATCGACATCCGTGTGCACTAATACCTTTCTTTCGACTTTATCATTTATAAATAGTATTGGTTTAAACTAGATAAACAGGGTGAGCGACTCTGAGCATGGTTATAATTGATTCACATTATGACATTACAAGAGCTATTATAATTGGAATTTTCTTTCATTTTTTCAATGCCATTTAATGACTAAATAGGCTGCTACAAAAGAACAGAACAGCTGTAATAATATCTTACAATATATTTTGCAATTCCAACGTAATAGCTTCTTTGTTACAGCGAAGTGTTTGGATATTCAGTGGGTGCACTAAACTTGTGACCCCAACCCTATCCGTTTGCTTTCCTTAAAAACTAAATGATAACATTTTACACAAACACTAAACATACAAACAATGACAATCTTAGTTCAGCTAGTTTAAAAAGATCATGAAGCTATTTGAATCATTGATACTGCGCAGCGACTTATGGAAAGATTGGGAAAGGTACCGAAATTCTAGACCTGGAATTTTTGGACTATAATCTGCAGTGAAACATGCTGCACTACATTCTATAATAAAAGCTTCACGGAAAAGTCCCGACTAAACGAATTCTTCATCGCAGCGATGCAATAATCATAAGTATAAATGAATCTTTAATTTATAGACATCCTCTTTGGGTTAATTCTTCAATTCCTAACAATATACCAGTGCACGGATTCCAAATAACATCTTCAAACGCATAACATGATTAATAGTGGCAGAAGGGGAGGGGGATTTGATTTGTGAATGAAGATCCGGTCGAAGAAGAAAAAATTGAGAAAGAAGATGTATATTATATATTTGTATGTTTTAATTAATATCATGGTAGTTGTTTTATTCAGTTTACAAAAAAAACTTATATAATTCCGGGATCAATGGTAGCAACCGTAATAGACAAGACTTAAAAAGTCAGGAATTGTGTTGATATTTCAATGTTATTATATAAACATCGAATTCTGTCAACAACTCTTAAATATATGCATATGATTTCGATTAATCTTTCCTTGGTCAAATTTGAAAAATTGTACATGTGTACAAGTTTAATGTACAGTTTTTATATGTTTTGTTATGTTTTTAAGGAAAACAAGTTATAATCGATTTACAGTTCTCTTGAGAATAAACGTATTGCCTTGCTAAAATTATTTTACTTGCCTGTAGTCTGGCGTGTCATGACACCCTAGCAAAACCCTCAAGGTTCTTATCCATATTTTTACCTTGTACATAAATATTTTACATGTAGCAAAGAGTGTAGGGGGTTAAAAAGTTGAAAAATACGATTAATTGTTTCTTTTTATTGAAACACAGAACATATCAAAAAATTTATGGACTCTGCTTTTATATAATAAATGTTGTTTTTTTAAGTCAAAATGTTCAGCTCATTCCTTTTTTCATATTGCAAGATATAAAAAAGGCCAGCGAAGATTACAAGATACATGTTGAAACCACAGACCTAGTTGCAATCTCTGGTATATGTAACATAGTCCTGACGATTCTTCTCGTGAACTTCTGGATTTGTGTGCAGAGTTTCCCAGGACAAATAACAAATTTTGGTTGCCTTTTGATACTCTGCAGTTCTGCAAACAAAACTTTTTTCCGCGGTACAACTTTGAACACAATCTTCTAATGAGATAGCTTTTAAAGTTTTAGTGGCAAAGCCAGACAACACTGCGTCCATTTCAACCTGGTAAGTGTTACCATACCCGTAGTGTCCACAATCTGAAATCAAGTGAATTTGAAAAAAGCATACAAGATGAAATATTGATATTTATTGTATACTTGTAAATGAATTATTGATGCTTATTTTGAATTTCAGTATTTTCACTGTAAAAGCTCATTTTTTCACTGCAGTGAAATATATTTTCAATATTTTCACTGGTGTTTTGCCGGACTACTTTCTTCTAAATTTACACAAAACACTTTTTACGGGGATATTACACAAATTGTGATGTCAAAAAAACAAGATTTTTTACATGTATATAATAAACAGGAAATCCAGGTTCTTTCAATATTTCATCTTAAAGAATGGAAATTGTCATAAATCACTTGTGGCTATAGCCACTCATGGAATATTTATTTTCATAACACTTTTATTATAGAAAAGGCTTAAATATCCTTTATAAATGAAAAATTAAGATAAACAACGCTTTGTAGGAAATAGAAATGATGGAAATGCAAACTCATAAAGACAATGGGTGTAAACGGCGGATTAAACATTCTGTCAAGAGCATGCGTGATACAAAAGGAAATATGCATATCGCTTTTCGTAATTTCCCGTCGATTTTTCAATCAGAAAACCCCATCATTTTCAAATGAAGAAAAAAACGCTTATTGCATTGAAAATGGAAGCAAGTTCATATAGTATAAGAAGCTCTTTGTTAATTTTATCAGATTTTGTTATATTGATGCCCATCTCTGATGTCAGATACTGTTATATTGAGGCATATCCCTGTTGTCAGATTTTGTTATATTGAGGCCGATCCCTGTTGTCAGATTTGTTATATTTTGGTCCGCCACTGTTGTCAGAATTTATCATATTGATGCGCATCCCTGTTGTCTGATTTTATTATATTGAGACCCATCCCTGTTGTCATATTTTATTAAATTGATGCATATCCCTGTTGTAAGATTATATGATATTAATGCCCATCCCTGATGACAGATTTATTTATATTGATGCCATTTTCTGAATCTCTGATGTCAGATCTTATTATATTGAGACCCATCCTTGGTGTCAGATTTTTTATATTGAGACCCATCCTTGTTGTCAGATCTTATATATTGAGACCAATCCTTGTTGACAAATTTTATTAAATTGATGCCTTACCCTGATGTCAGATTTTTTATATTGAGACCCATCCTTGTTGTCAGATCTTATATATTGAGACCAATCCTTGTTGACAGATTTTATTAAATTGATGCCTTACCCTGATGTCAGATTTTATTATATTGAGACCCAGCCTTGTTGTCAGATTCTATTATATTGAGACCCATCCCTGATGTCTGTTTCTTTTTTAATTGATCTCCATCCCTCCCTGCTTTATTAAGGCCCATCCTTGATGTCCATCCCTGATGTCAAATTTTCTTACATTGTTGCCTATCCCTGTTATCAGATTTATATATTATATTGCCCTGTTTGCGCATTTTGTTATATTGAGGCCAATCAATTTTTGCGGATTATATTATATTGAGGCATTTCCCTGTTTATGGATTTAATTATATTGAGGCCAATTCCTGTTTGGGGATATTATTATATTGAGGCCCATCCCTGTTTGCGGATTTTGTTACTGTCTTCAAATAAACACAGATGACGAACTTAAAAAATCACAAGTATGTGTACACATTTTTTACCTTATTTTAAGTATTCATATATTCATGCCACGTTTATTGTTTCTTCTTTGTTTTAGTGTCTAGCTTTATTTGTCATCCAATGAAAACGCTGTATTTCTTCAAAATTATGTACGTTAATTTTCATAGAAGAACAGAAACTGATACTATATCGAATTTCGTTCATAGTCGACTTCTATTTTTCAAAGTACTTCATAAAACCGCATAGTGACGTAATAAAGTAAACAATAATGAGGCCAAATAAAGCTTGACACTAAGTATGTTAGTATTCATCCTTAGCTGTTCTACAGAAATTAGAAACATTCTCCTGTCGCTATCGCTCCCGTCGAAATTTCTAATTTCTGTAGAACAGCTCGGATGAACACTAACATATACTTGATAATCATGATTTTTTCAGACACTCATTGAGTAGATATGCTACTGGTTTACTATTGCAGTAAATCTTGTGGTGGATACACATTATCTAAAACTTACCAAATCTAAAACTTACCAGAGAGACATGTTTTCGTGTCATGGTGGTAGCTCATGCCAGGTTTACATTTACAAGACATCCATTTACATTCTGAATTCTTAACGTCACTGCACGTCTCGTTTGTTTGACAAAATTGTCTCATCGAACTTGAAGTCGGGAGATTTTTCTTCTCTTGTATACTAGAAATCTAAGTATTAAGTTATAAACAGAAACGTAGCAGGCAGGCTGGTCAACTATCTGCACCCATTAGTTATACAGTTTGAAAAATATTTAAAAGATATTCATAAGACATACCAAACTCTGGAAATAAAGTCAGAATGAAAAAATACAATGTATTTAAATAAACACGTTTCAGCGTAAAACGAAATATATTAACTTATTTAGTGATCATGGACACTTATATATATCACCAATAAAGGAAAATGCCCGGCAAGCAACGTCCAGTTAGATCAATGAATAAAGCAATCCACTATAATTCGGTCGATTTCAGGTCATTTTCGTTGTGATTCATCATAAAGTCCTTTCAACGGTCGTTCGCAATGAAAATTTGCTCTGGCAGGTACAAAAGTAATAGCAGTTCCTTGCGATAGTGAAAGCATCTAGTACTAGTTAACTGCTTGCAGCCTGCCCAAGAACGATGCTGTGGCTGAACTGTGCTCTTTTTAATTCGAAGTGGTTAACTGCCGTGACCCGAAAGATAAACTATAAAACCACAGCAAAGGCCAATTATTACTTAATGTTGCTGATCATTATAGATTTTGATATTCTCATTAAAACAAATGTAAACCTGTCAGCTAAAGTTAAAAAAACACTTACGTTCCTGACGAAATTATCGAACTCTTGTTGCAGCACATCTACTTTGTCGGCAAATTTGGACTGATCCTTTTTTCTTTCTTCCGCCTCTTGCTCTACTGTTTTCTTTAATATTGTGACCTCATTTTGAACAGCAACTTGATTTATCTCTGCCTTGATAATTCTTTCCAAAGTTTGAGCCTCATAGTGGTATCTTGAACATTGCTGCTCTTCTATCAGGGCACCTATATATGGTGACCATCAAACACATCTTGATGATTATTATTATTGACAGATATATACTTTAGCAATCGGTCAGTTAACTAATTTTGTATGTAAGGAAAAAAGTAATAAATTGGTATCTAAAATCATATTAAATAGTAATAAAAAATAATAAAAGAAACCATTTAAAATATGTAGCAGTTTACCTGAAGTAAAGCATCCAGTGTAAAGGAAACTATAAACTACAAGAAAATACAGCATCATCATTTTCCCAAGTTTGTTACTTCTCCGTTCAAAGGTTTCTTCTAAATGTTTAGAAAATGCTCAATGTGCTACATACAAGTATAAAATTGAAATTATTGTCGTTACAAAGCGGAATCGGAAACAGAAATATTTTGGTAAGTTATGATTTTCCTGTCACTTGACAGTTTTACCAATTAGATACTAGCAAATGGTATAATTAGTAAAAACAACCTATTTATAGCAACATTTTATAAATACATTTTTGGTAAAACTTAAGTAGGAGGAAAGGATTTATCGTTGCCTTCCTTTGAAACACACATTGGACACTATTTAAATAGAATTGGGGCATAATTGAATATACAAGTTTGCTTCTTTAAAGCTGCACGCCTCCAGTTGAGCCAAAATATTTCTAGTAATTCTTTAGAAAAATGTCTTAAGATTTTAAGAAAAGTAAAAGTATAAGATTCGATATTTAATAAATTACTAATATGTTATGTGCGATTAATGGCTGATTTTGCAGTACCATTCAGTATAATTCGACTGCGTTACTATCATACAATAGAAGGTATTGATTTATATTTTGACCTCTTTTTGGAAATGTGCGTGGATTGTAAGTGGCTTTTGTAAGGTGCATATTACTTTCTTTGTTCGCTAAACAATATTTTACTTTTACATACATTTTCAAAGTTTTCAGAAAAAATGAAAATTAACGAATCTGGAAGCATGCTGCTTTGAAATGAAGAATGCGAGATGCCTTTTTGCAGCTGTTGAAGAATTGTTGAATTGTTCAAATGGCGGGACAGTAAGAATTTCTGATTGGCCGAATTTCATCTGCGATCAATAACAACATACCGGCTATCTCCGGATAAGCTTAAATGAGAAATAATTGAAGGAGCAGAAAAAATTTGGTACACGGTTCACTCGATCATATCATAGTGCTTGGTGATATTGTTACGAAATTACCCTTATTTTTCCTTTTTAAGAAATTTACCTGTTCTATTTCGAAATGTAAGCGATGATCAGACATGGCAATGGTAATTAATTTTCAACAAAGTTTTAATAGATTTTGATAACTAGTAAAAATATAATGTAGGCTTAAACATTATAACAATCATGTATAATTATTATGATACACGGAGCCACGCCGATCGCTAGCAATATACATGCATGTACATAGTAGCAACAAACAAAAAGTTATTGATTTTATATGCAATTTAAGAAGAAAAGAATACCTAATATATTTTTTTCACAAAAAGAATATACGTTATATACATTATTAACTGCATATTAATAAAATAACATTACTTTAACACAGGTATGACTGGAAGTTGTATTTGAAACGATTTTTCCTACAAGTGAAGGCATACAGAGATATCACTGCTTCAGATTGTCTGCTGCAGACAAGTCGGCTATTTTTGTTATTAGACATAATACTGACGTTCAAACAACAATCAACAGCCCACAGGATTAAGTCGTACACGGCGCGAATATTTATACCGTAATGTAGAAAATATGTGCGTCCTGCATACCAAGATGCCACGTGCCCGGCATACACTGAAGAGTGATTCACGCTGCATGCGTACAGACTGAATGATAAAATTCGTTATTGTTTTCAAGTTCAAATTTTACCATTTTTTATGATGAACGTTTTGCTATTAAGTTTCTTAGGTTATGACAGCAGGTCAAAGTTTTATAATGATAGAATGTAATTGTTCTACATGTATTATTCAAGAATACGTTGAAAACAGTGATATAAATTAGTTTTTACATAATATTATCTTACTTTTATATATTTTAGTATTATTGCAGTTAGTGCAAAATTAAAACTTTGAAAACACATGAATTCATTTGTTATGTGATTTACTGCTTTTGACGTCGTCATACATAATTATGACGTTACGCAAATCTGTCGTTGACTTTGCATTAATGTCCTCTTTTAAACTTCTATATCTCAAAAACTATTTGCAATATCGATGTAAAATAAAGGGCAACGCGCAAAATAATGCATGGTATAAAACTAAAAATCAATAAAAAATGCCCGAGTGCCCTTTTCTTGTGGCGGCGGTCATATATTTGTGGGTTTTAATTAATTTAATCATGGCAGTTGCTTTAATCAGTTTACAAAAAAAGTTATATAATACCGGGATCAATGGTACCAACTGTAATAGACAAAACTTTAAATGTCCGCACAAAATCATTTGAAGTAAAATAGGCGATGTAATATCTACTTCCGTCCAGCAATTTCAATAGATGAAAACGTGATTATGTCCTTAAGTCAAATTTTGTTTGTTTTCCGTACATAGTGAATATATATATAATTGTGATGATCGTTAAATGTAATAATATTAACATCGAATTTTGTCGACATGTCTTAAATATTTGCTTAAGGTTTGGATTAAGCTTTCCTTGGTCAAATTAAACAAACTGTACATTTGACAAGTTAGATTTTGACTGACAGATTTTAGATATTTGTTGTGTTTCTGTTTAAAGGAAAACAAGTTATGATTAGTTTACAGTCCTCTTGAGAATAATTGAGAATAAACGTATTGCCTTGCTATAATTTTATTACTTGGCTATGGTCTAGAGTATCATGACACCCTTGCAGAACCCTCAAGGTTCTTATCCTTATTAAATATTCGTGTCTCATCATCATCATCATCTCCATCCTCATCATCATCATTTTATAGTCATCATCATAATCATAATTATAAACATCATTATCCACTGATAACATTATCCTTATATACGTATAAGATTTACAATAATGATTAAAAGCCATTTAGTGTTTGAAATGATTTTTTGTCCAATAGGAGTGCAGTATTTCAAATGAATCGTATTACATTTACTTTGGTAAATCTGCAAACTGTAAATAAATCTAGTAAATCGACTGTTTATAAAAATAATTTAAAACACTAAGCCGTTAAAAATTTATTAGTACGTATTTACAAAGATAAATTGTATAAATTTACCTTTGTAAATACGTACTAATAAACTTTAACCTATACTTAGTATGATCAGGTGCGGCACAACCGCGTAAACAATTAATTTTGTTAATACGTTCTAATAAATTATAACAAGCTTAGTGTTTTAAATAAGTTTTTTTCAAACAGTTTATTTACTAGACTGATTAACAGTTTGCCGATTTACCGAAGTAAAAGTATTATGATTCATTTGAAATATTGTTGTCCTATTGAACAACAATAATTTCAAACAATAAGCTATATAAGAACGTGCATACTTTGAAGGCGTTATCAATCAAACAATTTCCGATATGGCAGCAAAAGTTAAATATCCCTTACCTTTAAACATTCATTTTTATTCGTTTGTAAGAAAAAATTAACATAACGTCAAAATTGTCTATGTCTATTTTATTTAAATTTGTATCATTGTCAACGCCGAGAAAAAGGACTAGATTTACTTGTTTCTTTTACATATTCCTATGTGTAGACATCTTCCTGTGTTTGACATACATGCTGTCTCACAAAAATGCCAGTGACGCGGAGAAATCAATCATTATCTGTCTCGTTTTTCTTGAATTACTTTCTTCTAAACATATAATATTTTATGCCCACATAAATTAATTTATGTCATTGGTCCGTCCCTATTCTCATTACTGTACTGAATATTACCCGTTACGGGTCGGGTTTTAGCCAAGTACATCTTAGCCAATCAATATCAAGACCTAAATCACGTGATGTTAATTAACCAATGATTACATTAGATCTATCACAAAGAAATAATTTTGGCGAGGAATGATTCTCGCCTTTGTTTATTACTAAGTCTTAAACCTGTCCAGACCATAACTCCGACCCCTCTGTACGGATTTTACTTTGGCTGTGACTAAAAAAAGGATTGGAGCACCACACTAAATACCGTATTCCGGTGTATACCGGACAAGGCGCTTGAATGATAAAATGCTAAAATCTTGTCTTTTTACCCAACGGAATGAACTTGAACAGGTCTAATTCATCTTTTCACACCGAATCAAGTACGATAATCAAGGAAAAATATAAAATTCGGCGAAAAAAACGATATTTGTCTATTTTGTGATCATGATTTCTGCAAGCGTCTAGAGGTACTGCTCCAATCCTGTATTGAGCTAAATCCTTTTACTTTACAACGCAATTGTCAACGTAGCGTTCATCACGTCACCTGTACACACGTAAAAACGTGACTCGTCGCTGAACACAACATTCTGCCAACGCTGACCGCGATGGTTGCGGGCCCAGATCAGACGTTGGTGACGGTGGCGTAAAGTTAGAACTAAACCACGGTAGGGTCTACGGCAGGTAATCCCGCGTTCCCTCAGACTTCTTCTAACCGTATAACGACTTATTGGGCAACTACGGTTACCGTCTATTTAACGCGACATCGATTCCGCCGTCACAAACCCGTCACGGAAATGACGTTGACGTATGAAATTATCTTGTCTGTCAGACGTCACACAAGGTTTCCTGTACGTGGCCGATTGGCAAACGTTCCCGTTACTCTAACACGTGGAACAAGACGACGAATCGTCGAACGCGAGACATTAAAACGTCTGGCGACTTGTTCTTGCGTTCGCCCGCATTCGAGCATGGCCAAAACGTGAGCTCCCTTCTCAGTATAATTAAGCGCATTACTCCAATTCACAAGAGACTTATTGCTTTTTAACGACCAATGTGGCTAACAAAATCATATATCATTACAACTGAACTACAGCACCCTGTTCTATCAGAATTAAGTTTACACATAGTTTATTTAAGTTCGATCAAGAAGGTTTCTAAGGCTTAAAGACACATTCTCAAATCCATATTTATCAGTATTTATTCATAGTTGCTACTGAGAACAAGTTTTGGCGACGTCTTCACATGAGTGGTACCATAATTTACAACGTATTTACGTAAGTTGCAAAACAAATCCAATACCTTCACATAAGTGACACTTCAATATGTGAAAGTTAACAATGGAACTTCGAAATGGAAGTTACAGAGCTCCATGGACATTTTTGAAAGCAAATTGGTATATTTTCATTTATGGAATAGATATCAAATTTGCAGCTCCTGGTGATATAGTTTGTGCTCCCAATATTCACGATTGTTTCAACATCAGTACTTCCTTTTCTTTATGATATTTAAAA